ACTCCAGTCTACTTCTAAGATTTTACCCTACAGAAATAAAGAGAGTGAGTAAAGGAATAAATGAGCTATTGGTATCTGGGCAAAAATAAGCATGTTACAAGATACAAGAATGAGACAGATATAGATATATTATTGGAAATAACCTAAATACCCATCAAGAGGGGACTGGTTAACTAAGTTATGGCAGCAGTTCTGAAAGTGTGGTCCAAAGAGCCCTGGATGTGCAAACTAAACTCAAAACACTTTAAAAGGATTAGCAAGGTTCTTCCTTTCCAACTATCTACCTGAATGTGGATTTTATTTCTTTATTTCAACTAAAACATCATATCACATCAGACTGCATGAAGAAACAGACATGAAAATCCAGCTGGTTTCTATTACGTCAAACATCAAAGATATCTGCAAAAATTTAAATGACACTACTCTTCCCATTAAATTTTTGGGGGTTTAGAAAATATTTTCATTTTTCATGAAAAATTTATGTTAACATATAATAGTTTACTACTGCTTTTTAAAAATGAATAAATAAATATTTTAAAGCAATTAATATTGATAAATATGACCCACATAATCAAAAGCTCTTTGAGATCCTCAACAACTTTTAGGAGTATAAAAGTGCCCCAAGACCAAAAGTTTGAAAACTGCTAGATTATGTTATAGCTATACTATGTTAAACTATGTAACCATTAAAAGAGAATGAAGCACTGATACATTTTTAAGTGAAAAAGCATGTTCCTGAATAATACATACATGATCCCTTTTAGTAAAACCAAAATTTTAAAACTATATACATATAAACACACATTTATACACACGTTTATACATGCTGTTTATGCTACATGAAATGCTCTCTTTGTATCTGGCCTAATAATTCCTAATTCTTCTTTTAGATCTCAACACAATTATTGCTTTCTCAGGGAAACCTTGCCTTACTCCCCCAACTAGGTCAAACGAACCTATTATATGGTCTCATAATATCGATTATCTGACATGATATTATGAGATCATTAATAGGTATCTGACATAGTTATAAATTTGCATTTATTTGTGTAATCATTTGATTAATATCTATCACTTACATTAAACTGTAAGGTCCATGAGATCAGAGACCACGTTGGTTTTGCTCACCATTATATTCTTAGTCTTGCATTATATTCAGTGCTTAGTAAATATTCAATAGCTATATTCTGATAGAATAAATTAAATAATATATGTTTGGAAACCTAAAAAAATATATAAAGAGAGGACTGGATTGGGGGAATGGGAGTAGGCTGGGAGGAGGGTGAGCTAGAAGGCTTTCACTTTTTACGTAGTTCTAAACTTTCTAAAATTTTTACAAAGGCCATATATTATCATATTAATCTGGTAACTAAAAATAAACAAAGATATGAAGATAAATTAAAAAGGAAAAGAAGACTGAACGGTCAACAGATACCCTAAAGCAAAGATGAGAAGGTAAGGGGTGGAGGGCAAGGAAACTAAATTAATGGAAACAGAACAACCATAACAGAAATAATGAGAATGCACCGTGAAAAATGTAACCAATATCACTGAACAATATGTATAGAAATTGTTAAAAAGGAACCTAATTTGCTGTGTAAACTTTCACCAAAAACACAATAAAATATTATTTAAAAAAAACAAGTGACTATATATGTGTAGGTCCATTTCAGAACTCGCCAGTTTGTTCCGTGGAGCCATTCTTTTATCCTAATAGCAATACCCTACTCTCTTAATTATTGTAGCTTTAATATCTGATAGTGTAAGATACACAATTTTGATCTTCTTAAAGATTGTCTTGACTTTTCTAGGTCTTTAATATTTCCATATGTGTTTCAGAAACAGCCTGTCAATTTCTACAAAACAGTCTGATGGGTCTTTGAGATTGTACTGAATTTGTTGATCAGTTGAGCGAGATGTGACACATAAAAAATACTAACTGTTCCTGTGAACAAAAAAAAAAAAAAGGAGGAGAAGGAACAGCCTCTGTAATGATAAAAGAATCTTCAAGGTAGGGCTACTAATGGTCACTTAAAAAGACCGATATTTAAATATAAGATAATTAAAACCCATGGCTCTATTTTCTTCAATGGCTGTGTCATGGAAGTCAGTGGAGGAAGTCATGGTATAAAAATAAAAAAGGCCTTGGAAAGGAAGAAATGAGCGTAACTGGAGAAGTTCTACCAAATGGCCTACAGTCCCAATACTCCTTATTCCCTCTGAGTCTCCCTGTTACTCATCTTTCCCTACTTGTTCTCCTTGGATAATCTGCATCTGCTCTCTCTCTACACACACACACACGCACACGCGCACGCGCACGCGCGCGCACACGCACACACGCACACACGCACACACGCACACACACACACACACACACACCAGTAACTCCCAATATCTCATCAGTATCACAAACTTTCCATACTAAAAATAAAAATCATTGTTTTCCATCATAAAACTATTCCTCTTTCTATGTTTGCCACCTCAGATAACAGCATCAACATTCAGTCCTTCAAGATAGAAATTTTGGAATTATCTTTAACCTTCCTCTTTTCTTCCTCATGTCCCACGTGTCATCAAATCCCACTGACCCTATCTCAGAGATGTACCCTGAGATAGCTCATCTTCTCCATCACCACGGTCTATTATCTGAAATACATCAACAGTCTCCTTATGGTGTCTTGCCAATGGTCTCTCTCCTCAGTCCAGTTCATTTTCAATACCACTCTCAGAGTCAGTGTCACCTTCCTAATGTACAAACCTGATCATGTTACCCTATGCCTAAAACCTAGGGGGCACCTCACTGTACATAGTAGCATACTAAACCAAAAAACTAAACCCATTCCCATCAAGCTGATTCCCAGCTCATGGCAACCCCATGTGTTACAGAGTAGAACTGCTTCACAGGGTTTTTTGGCTGTAATCTTTACCGAAGCAGATTGTCAAACCCTCCTTCTGTGGTGCTGCTGGGTGGGCTCATCCCACCAGCCTTTAGGTTACTAGTTCAGTGCAAACCATTTGTGCCACCCAGGGACCTAGAAGCGTACTAGGCCCTTCATTATTTGACCCCTACCTATACTTCTAGCCGTATTTCCCTCATACACACTTTCCACATGTGCAAGATACACATTTCATAATGTGCCTTTAAACATGCTGTTCTCTCCGCTTGGCATGCCTTTCCTGCGCTTTCCACCTGGCAAACATTTATCACACTTCAAGATTCAACATCCTTGGTGGGGATTTCCCTAATCACTCTGTCATTCAACAAAAAATGTACTGAGCACCTATTAATACAACATGAACCTTCTCCTCAAGAAACTCACACTCTCATTTATATTCTCTTAGTACTGTGTTCATACTACTATTATTACACTTATCACATTGTAGTGCAGTCATCCATTCACACGTCTCTCCTCCCAGGGAGACCATGAGAGCTTTGAAGGCATGGCCACTGCCTAAGTCCTTTTTGAATTCCCAACATGTGCTGTTAGGAATGTGTTCATTTGTTTAATGTGCTGTGGTGACTAGGAATCAGAAAAAAATGATCTCTAAGATCCCTTTCAATTCTAATAATCTATGACTCTAATCATAGCAGCATTTCTCAAGCTGTGACTAGCTAAAAATTTGTACCGGAATCACCTGGAATGCTTAAAAATATTTAGATTCTGGGTCCCACTTCAAACTTACTAAATCAGAAACTGATCATTTCTACTCTAGCTGCTTATTTTCTAGTCAGGGGGGAAGCCATGCAAATGCCCTGAAATCACTGATGCTCAGCAATTCTAAGGTAGGAATTATAATTATAGGTACGCGAAGCCTAGCATCCACTATACGTTCTGTGAAATAGGACGTTATGTGATTTGCCTGTTGTGCGAACATCACATTACATACAGGAGAAAGGCACGAAGGACAGTCACCAGTTGGGCCCAGGACCCAAGGCACCGAGGCACCAAGGGACTGCACAAAAACTCTGGCTCCTTGGCCGCAGGTCCTTTGTGGTCCCCGGAGAGCTCCCAGAGCTGCCCGCACCGACCCCTGCCCACCCACCCACCCGCTGAGGCACCACCCAGCCAGCTGGTTCACTTCCCTTCCTGTCTCCCTGCCTGCCGTCCCCACCTCCACGGGCTTTAAACTCTTCCAGCCCAGCCTGCCCCTCCTCCCCAGGCTGCCTTTCCTGGTTCTCCTCTCACCACTGCCACTGCCAGAGGAGCCGTGGCCTCAGGCAGGCATTAGACGCAGGGCTCCCAGGCTGAGTAGGGCAGTGGCCTTGGCAGAGCATCCTCCTCAGTGGCTCTGGTGGCATCTGTGAGGTTCCTGTCTGAGGCAGGCACAGTGGGACAGGCAGCCACTGGTGGGCACTGGGACCCCCTACCCTGCCGCCCCAGGGCTGGGTGGGCGCAGGACTGGAGAGCTAGTGAGAGACAGATCAGATCTCCATACTCAGCAAAGTACATCTGGTATGTCCCATTCTCCCATCAGGATAACCTTAAGGGAGCATGGACGTAGGTCGGGATAACCTTATGGGACCACAGACATATATGCAGTCAGACACTGCCCAAATCGATGTTAAGTGACACATACCTGTATTATTATTATTATACCCATTTGAAAGGAAACGAAACTAAGGCACAAAGAGATTAAGTAACTTGCCCAAGATTATAAAGCTACTAAGTGAAAGAGTTAGGATTTGAACTCAGGCAGTCTGACTTCAAGGACTATGCTCTTAATCAGTATACTATACTGCTTCACTGGTGATATGTTTGATAATTTAAGACCTCCTTTATTAGAAAACATAAATTTTCTGCCAGAACTAGGTGGAGGAGGAGAACAAGAAAGAGGATCCAACTTTTCTTATCCTTTCTTCTTACTTAAATATCTCACTGTGAAGAATAAAACAAATCAGTTTCTCTCCAGCTTATGACTAGAGCTGAAAAACAATAAATAATAAGATGAGAACTTAAATTTTTAGCATTAGAACCCAAAACAAATATCTATCCACCTACCTCATTGGTCCGTAGTTCAGGATTACAAATGCCAATACTATCATCACACAGACAGCTCTTCGCTTTGGATTGGGGACTTTAAGCCTCTGGTTCTAAAGGGAATAACCACATAAATTACAATTAAATTACACATTAATCCCACAAAAAGCAACATTTAAGATAAGAATTTTCCCTCTTTGCCAGTTATGCCAATACTTTTTCTTATTAAAAGAAAAACACAACTCAAACGTTAGGAAACATTTTGAAAAACTAGAGCAGAACCATCCAGGTTTCCTTTTCTAGCAGAGAGAACAAAGGAGAGAAGCAGAAGAAAAGAGACAGCGGTCATTCTGTTGCCTCTTTACCCAAAGAACAGAATTTAAAAATTTTACATTTTTATTGATCCCCAAAGAATTTTGAGACATTTCAATAGTTTGTCTTCCTGTCTTTTAAATCCCTGTTTTTCAGTAGCACACTGGAGTATTTGCATGTGCTCAGGGGCAAGACAGGAAGAAGAGTGTAAGATACCCCACTCCACAGCCATCTATTTGGTTCAGCACAGCACTGTAATGTGAAATCCTGAAAGCAGCAGATTTCATACACAGAATTGAGGAGATTAACTTTCTTGAGACCAGCATGGCAACCAATTGCAAAGAAAATACTAGCGGTCAGGGAACAGAGAAAAGATACAAACACATGTTTATTTTGTATTGTTTTCTTTTTTGAAGGAGAAGGCCTGGAGTCTCAATGTGATTCATCTAGTCAGAAAAGAGGGTGCTAAGGTAATGGCTGGGGAGAAATCCAGGAAAAGGAGACAACTTCTGTATGCAGACTGGGAGGTACAATTCAAAAGGTCCTTTTCCAAATGTTTTATCCTCACAGCGAATGTTTCTGAACTTACTGTACCCTTGTTTTTCCTAGCACTGTCATTTTACACAATATAAACTAAAATGTAGAAGCTTCTCAATCGATTTATCAGGAAAAAAGAATACATTAACCCCTCTCCTCCCAGCTGCATCACTAGCGCCCACCTCTGATACAACTTCATCCAGCTGCCGCTTCAGTGATCCATTCTCTTTCTTCAGTTTCTCATTCTCTGAAAGGGCTGCCTTTAGCTTTGCCTCCAACCCTAGCATATATTCTTTCTTCTTCTTGCGGGACTGACAAGCAGACTCTCGGTTTTTAATCATACGTTGCTGTCTCCTTAGCACAGCAATCTAGGAAAAGTCACAATGATTCTGGTTAGATCAGAAGATACTGATTTTTACAATTATTTTTAAACAACTCTTGTTCAAAATACAGGTTACTAGTTGTTTTAAAGCAAGTATTTAAAAACACCATTCAAACTAAATTAAAATCAAATGATTAAGGTTTTCTACATCAGTCAGTTTGTCGTACGATGGTGGCTTATGTGTTGCTATGATACTGGAAGCTCTGCCACCAGTACTTCGAATACCAGCAGGGTCACCCATGGTGGACAGGTTTCAGTGGAGCCTCCAGACTAAGATAGACTAGAAAGAAAGGCCTGGCAATCTATATCTGAAAATTAGCTAGTGAAAACCTTGTGGATCACAACAGAACACTGCTCAACTTGCTTGCTTTGGACATGCCATCAGGAAGGATCAATCACTAGAGGAGGATATCATGTTTGGTAGAGGGCCAGAGAGGACAGGGAGATTCTCGAGGAAATGGACTGGCACAGCAGCCACAACAATGGACTTGAACATGCCAGCAATTGTGAGGATGACACAGGACCAGGCAACATTTCATTCTGATTTTACATAGGTCACCATGAGTAGGAGCTGACTCACCAGCAGCTCCTATCTAAAACCTAAAAGTAATTTCTTCTGGTGTTTTCTAAGGCTTATTTAGTCACCTCCCAATCTTCCCTTTAAAAATTCCCTCAGAACATGCCATCATGAATATATGTATATATATATACACCTTTAATCTACATCTCTGGCCCTGAATTAATTGACTGTGCTTCAGAACCATATATACAATCACTTTTAAGGCCACGTCTACTAGTGGAGTCACCATCACTTCCAAGTGGGTATATGCAAACTGAACTCATTATCTCCCTCTACCTAAATTTCTGTATCTATTCATTTCTATCAGTGATAACTATCTCTCAGGATATAAAGAAGTAAGTGACTATTAGCTATTATTTTTCTTTTATTCCCTATATTCACTCCTTCCCTCATTCCCTCAATAAATATGTATCAAGTATGTACTAATGACACGTTTCTTCCAGCGAAAATGTGTTTGTTATTCCTTTCCCTCTCTTCCCACTGCGACTCTCCTAACACAAGCACTCGGGAACTTATCCCTCCACTACCACAACAGCCTCCTGACTATTTTAATTGTCTTCAATCCCTTCCTATCTACCATTTCTAAGATAACTTCTCCCCAAAAGAAAACATTTTTAGCTTTCTATCCCATTGTAAAAACAAACTAGCCATTAGTAACAGAAGAAAAGGACCACATGATCATCTCAACTGATGCAGAAAAGGCATTTGACAAATTTCAACAACCTTTCATGATAAAAACACTCAGCAAGCTAGGAATAAAAGGGAAATTCCTAAACATGATAAAGAGCACTTACAAAAAATCCACAGATAACATTATACTCAATAGTGAAAGACTGAAAGCTTTCCCCCTGTGGTGAGGAATAAGACAAAGATGCCCACCTTTCACCAAAGTTATTCAACATTGGACTGGAAGTTTTAGCCAGAGCAATTAGTCAAGAAAATTTTAAAAAATCCATCCAAATTAGAAAGGAAGAAGTAAAGCTAACTCCATTGGTAGATGACATGATCTTATGTATATAGAAAATCCCAAACAATCTACAAGAAAGCTACTAGGGCTAATACGTGAATTCAGCAAAGTAGCAGGATACAAGATCAATGCACAAACATTAGTTGTATTTCTATACATCAGTAATGAATAATCTGAAAAGGAAATTAAGAAAACATTTATAATAGCATCTAAAAGAATAAAATACCTAGGAATACATTTAACCAGGGAGGTGAAACATTTGTAAATGAAAAACTATAAAACATTGCTGAAAGAAATTAAAGAAGACCTAAATAAATGAAAAACATCCTGGGTTCATGGATTGGAAGACATAATATTGTTAAGAAGAGATGTCGACCCTACCCAGTGCAATCTACAGATTCATTGCAATCCTATCAAAATTTCATCAGCCTTTCCTGCAGAAATGGAAAAGCCAATCCTGAAATTTCAAGGGGCCCCAGATAACCAAAACAATCTTGAAACAGAAGAACAAAGTAGTAGGACTCCCACTCCTCAATGTCAAAACATACTACAAAGCTACAGTCATCTACAACAATCAAACAGTGTAGTACTGGTATAAGGGTAGACACACAGACTAATGGAACAAAACTGAGAATCCAGAAATGAACCTATACATCTATGGCCAGTGATTTTTGACAACCATGCCTAGTTCATTCAATGGGGAAAGAATAGACTCTTCAACAAACGCTCCCAGGACAACTGGATCTCCACATACAAAAGAATCAAGTTGGATCCAGACCTTATATATAAAAATTAACTCAAAATGGATCAATAACCTAAATATAAGTACCAAAGCCATAATACTCTTAGAAGAAAACACAGGGGGAAAGCTTCAGGACCTAGTTTTTGACAATGAGTTCTTAGACATGACACCAAAAGCATGAACAAAAAAAAAAAAAATAGATAAACCAGAATTCATCAAAATTAAAAATTTTTGTGCATCTAAGGACATTATCAAGAAAGTGAAGAGACAACCTACAGAATGGAAGAAAATATTTGGGAACCATATATCTGATAAGGGTTTAATATCCAGAATATACAAAGAACTCTTACAACTCAACCACAAAAAGACAAACAACTCAATTAAAAAATGAGCAAAGGACTTGAATAGACATTTCTCCGAAGATGATATACAAATGGCCAATAAGCACATGAAAAGATGCTCAACAGCATTCCTCATTAGAGAAATGCAAATCATAACCACAATGAGAAACCACTTCACACCCACCAGGATGGCAGTTACCAAAAAAGAAAATTAAAAGTGTTTGACAGGATGTGGAGAAACTGGAACCTTCCTGCATTGCTGATGGGAATGTAAAATGGTACAGCCACTGTGGAAAATAGTTTGGCAGTTCCTTAAAAAGTTAAACGTAGAACTACCATCTGGTAAACTGCTGTCAATAAGTTGTACACTTTTAAGACGTTGAACTGGGCAAAGTTGTGTGATAGATATATTTACAACAACAACAAAGAGTAGCTGCTGAGGCTGCTTATGTGCAACCAAACACCTCATGGGATTCAGTTCCTTGATTTGGAAACCCAGAGTCATGGTTTTACAGGACATCCTAGTTAATTGGCCTAATAATGTGTTTAATGCTCCTGTTCTACCTTTTAGTTCATTGTGTGGTGCCTGGGGTCTCAAAGGCTTGCGAGCAGCCATTCAAGGCACAACAATTGAAGCAACAGAGGAAGAAGGACAGTCAGGAACAGAAGGAGGATAAGGAATATGCAGCTAACTGCCTCCATGAACAACTAACAGCCTCTTTCGCTATGAGACCAGAAGAACTGATGGTGCCTGGCTACCATAACTGAACATTTTGATCAAAGATTCTATAGAAGAATCCTGATCAAAAGGGGGAAAATGCATAACAGAATTTCAAATTCTCATGGAATCTATACTGTCTGGAGCCGTGGAGGCTGAATGAACCCCTGAAACTATTCCCCTGAGATAATCTTTAAACCTTAAACCAAAAATATCCCCTGAAGCTCTGGGGACCATGGTCTCGGGGAACATCTAACTCAATTGGCATGATACTACTTATAAAGATAATGCTCTACATTCTACCTTGGTGAGTAGTGTCTGGGGTCTTAAAAGCCTGTGAGCGGCCATCTAAGATACTCCACTGGTCTCAT